TCTCACAGAGGGTCCTATGATCTGCTTCAGAGGAGACGGACCAGGTCAGAGGGTCCTTCCTGTACCTGCCATGTCTCAGGTTCCTTCAGCTTAAAATATTAAATATGCCAAGGCCTTGTATTTTGGGGTAGCATGTTCTGAACTCCATGATGGACCATTGAGACTCTTCTGTGAGCTTTCAGGCATGTACCTGAGGACTACCTCTTGCAAAGGGAGAAGGGTATACAGCTCTGAAAGAGGAGTCAGAGGCAGAGGTTCAAGTCCCTGCTTTACTAGGAGAGTCCTTATTTTCTCAGGCTCCATTTCCCAGTCTCAAAAATGAGGTTAGTGATAGCTGCCCAGCCTCTGATTCTAACAAGAATCACTATGACAATACAAGGGAAAATCCTTCGTTAGCTACACATACTTTAATTTTCAGTATGAATATATGAAATAGATGGAGGTTGTGAGAATAGAATAAATCTATGGCCAAATAGAGACATGACCAAACAACCATTCGTGGGAGCACTCAATTAGTAATAATGTTTGTCAATGCCTGCCTCATATTAGAATCACCTGGAGAGATTCTTTAAAAAAAATACCAGGTCGATATCAGACTAATTACATTAGACTGGCAGGAGCTGGGGCCTGCGTACCCTGGATGTAGTCCTAGAAGAATGTTCTGTTTATGGTTGACATCAATACACATAAATAACACTGAGCTTGGAGTCAAAAGTTGGGAGTGAGGTAGGAATACAAGAATAGTTCATGAGAATACATTTTTTTTGTAGCCTCGGGTTATAGACACATCCTGTACACCCCTTTCACATGGAAACTTCCCTATAGGGTTTCTTTGTTTTAATTTTTATTTATTTATGATAGTCAGAGAGAGAGAGAGAGGCAGAGACACAGGCAGAGGGAGAAGCAGGCTCCATGCACCGGGAGCCTGACGTGGGATTCGATCCCGGGTCTCCAGGATCGCGCCCTGAGCCAAAGGCAGGCGCCAAACCGCTGCGCCACCCAGGGATCCCCCCTATAGGGTTTCTGAGAGGAATTGCAATTTTGGGGGTGCCTAAGAACAGGTATACCATGAAAGCAGCATTATATGATGGGTCTCTAGCTAGAGTTTTAATCCATCCTGGGTGAGGACACATTAGGGTTTTTTGTTTTGTTTTGATATTTAGATGGGCTTTCTTTCTTTCCTTTTTTTATTTTTATTTTTTTTTTATTTTAGAAGTCTTTGAAAGTGCTTCGGGGTGCTGATTATTGAATTTTCTTGTAATGAAAAGTTCTGTGATAGCTCTGACCTAGAAGCGACTGATTAAGTGGGCAGGAGAAGTTTATTCCCAGGTAGGAAAGAACAAACCTTCCCTGCCCATTTAATCAGTGACTTGAGTCTGCTTGCTTCGTTTGCCTGGGTCTCAACCTTCAAAAAAAAATTTTAGATCTGCCCATCTCTGAAATCTTTTGGGATGTCAAATGGATTGCTGTTCTCAAATTGAGGCCCGAGGCCAGCAGCTCTAGCTCACCTGATGGAAATGCAAATTCTCAGGCCCTACCCAAGATCTACTGGGTCAGAAACTGTTTCAGCGCACCCTCTGGGAGATGGTGATGCATGCTCAAGTCTGAGAACTACCGAGCTAGCACATAAACTCTTCTCTTGTTTTTTCTCAGTAAAAGGTGTGTTTTTCTTCATAGAAAAGCACAAAGCAGACATTGATTGACATATGCCACGCTTAGCTTTGCTTCCTGTCCCCCTCTCTCCTCTCCCCTCTGAGGAGGAGTCAGATTAGGAGAGGGAAAATGAAAGGTAGCTTTAAATTTCTGAATTACTGTGTCATCAAGGATTCTATTCCAATCTTTTAAGAGGTAGTAGTCAGGTGAAGAAACATTGCATATATTAGTGTATAAAGATATGCACTATGTATAAAGACATATTATTTTATAAGTGTATAAATATATATACAATGCATAAGTATATCTCTATTATAAATGCATATATATAATGAATAAAGGTGCCGCGTGTGTGTATAAAGCTATGAAAATATGCACGTGTATAAGATACACAATGTATGGTGATACAATATGTGTATATAAATCTCTATTGTTAATACAGGAGAGGTTAACCCAGGAAATTCCAGAAATCTGAGTACTATCGGGAATCCAGAGACCTAGGGGACTGGAGGTCAGCAGGGGAGAAAAATAAATCTTGGCGGGGAGGGAAGAATAAGACTTGCTAAGGAGCAGTGCACTGCACGATGCAGAGGGGGCTGCTACAGTTTGCCCAGAATTTCCCACACGCAGTGCTCCCAGATTCTGCGGTGCGGTGCCCTGGGCCAAGGCCAAAGCAGAGGTAGCCCCGGAGGAGTCCAAGGCTTCTTTGTGAAAGTCAGTCACACTGTGACTTCTTTAGGTAACAGAAAACAGTTGTACTATCTCCTACAAGGGTCTTTAAAAGTAGAATAGATTCTTTTCTCTCCTGGGAGCCCTGAAGGCAGAGAGAAAAATCAATGTTATCTCTCGAATTCCAAATGTTAATAGTTGAAGTTGTGTTGGCCTCTCTCTCTATCATCATCATCATCATCATCATCATCATCATCATCATCATCTATCAATCATCTATCAATCATCTATCATCTATCTATGTACCTATCTATCTATCATCATCTATCAATCATCTGTCATCATCTATCATCTCTCTATTGTCTATTATCATCTTCATCTATCTGTCATCTATCAATCATCATCTATCATCTATTTATCTATCTTATCATCTATCTATCTATCTATCATCTATCTCAAATCCCTTCTCTCTAGACACTCAAAGAACTTAGGTTGTATGGCTTAACCTTTTAAACAACACAGGATAGGGCCAGGGGAGTGGGGGAAATGGGTAGCATGGACAGTCAATCCCAGTAATAGAGAAATTAGGAATCTCTCCAAGAGTGTTTCTAGTATCTAGGTATTTGAATTGCCAGACACTCTGCTAAGTGCCTACGTGCATTACCTCATTTAACCTTAAGCCCCACCTTATGATAGAGGTACTATTAGTATCTTTAGTACAGGTAGATAGTTGATAAAGGATTTGAACTGAAGTTAAACTTGATGTTTCACCCACTCCATCTTAGTATTTAATGATAGCTAAGGTTTTGGTTCAGATGGGCCTGCAGTTATTTACCTACTGGATCCTTTATTCTCGGCGCTCAAATTGAGATATGCAATTACCTGTGCTCATTACGTACTTGTGTTCTTTGTTTTTCAGCTTTGAATTTCTTTTTTTTTTTTTTAAGATTTTATATATTTATTTGAGAGAGAGAGAGAGAGTGGGAGCAGGGGGTAGAGGAGAGGAGCACAGGGAGAGGGAGAAGCAGCCTCCCCACTGAGCAGGGAGCCCAATGCCGGACTCAATCTCAGGATCCTGGAATCATGACCTGAGCCGAAGGCAGATGCTTAACTGACTGAACCACCCAGGCTCCCCATTCTGGTTTGAGTTTCTAAACCTCTATTTGTGACAGTATTTCAACTTAATTATTGATACTCTAAAAGTTCTTAGAACTTCCATATAGTACTTTAAATACACTGATTTTTTTTAATTAAAAAATTGACCATTGGGAGCTAGGCATTACTCACTTTCCTATGGGTTGAACTTCAGTGCAGTAACAGGAATTCACTAATGAAATAAACATAAAAAGAGCCTCCCTAAAGATTCGAAAGGGTCATATATTTTGTGGTAATTATTATTTTCCTAGTTAACTTCATTTTCATTTGTATATCTGCTACAAATTCTTAATTATGATTAATTATTCCAGGTTTTATCATTTACATTGTCTCTTATTTCCTCTTATCGTCCAAAGTATTTTGTTAGATGGTATATGTGTGGTCTACTTTTCTAAGCATATCAACATAATTCTTTGGGATGAACTTCTCTCTCTTTTTTTTTTAATTTTTTTATTTATTATTTATGATAGTCACACAGAGAGAGAGAGGCGCAGAGACACAGGCAGAGGGAGAAGCAGGCTCCATGCACCGGGAGCCTGACATGGGATTCGATCCTGGGTCTCCAGGATCGCGCCCCGGGCCAAAGGCAGGCGCCAAACCGCTGCGCCACCCAGGGATCCCTGAACTTCTCTCTTTAAAAAAAAAAAAAAAAAAGATTTATTTATTTATTGTAGAGAGACAGAAAGCACAAGAGTGGGAGGAGGGGCAGAGGGAAGGAATCTCAAGCAGACTTCCCATTGAGCATGGAACCTGACGAAGGGCTTCTCATCACCCTGAGACCATGACCTCAGCCAAAAACCAAGAGTTGGACACTCAACCAACCGAGCCACCAGGTGCCCCTGGTTGAACTTCTCTTAGATAGCTACCTAGAACACCAATGAATTTCACTACCTATGTATGTCTGGCCTATTTTGAAGGAAAGAAGATTAATTTATCATATGTCCAACAGTCCTAAACTCTTATGGCTTGACTGGAAGAGTAAATATATAAATAAGATTTTTGTCTTTTTATTTCAGGAATTACAACATATTGTTAGATCACAACACATCAGAGCAGAAAAAGGTAAGCCTGGACCTGCATGAATATGTGAAATCATACAGGGTCCATACCCTTTGGGCTAACAAGGTTTTTCTCATCTCCAGCTATGATGGAAGGTTCATGGTTGGAAATGGCCAGGAGGGGCAAGACTCATACTCAACCTTTTGCTCATCTCACTATCAATGCCACTGACATCCCATCAGGTAAGTTCCATTTACATCCAGCCTGAAAAAAGATTTCAAGAGTCCTTTACCAGTCCATCTGAATACTCAATACTATTATTAGCCTGTTGCTAACATTTTGAGAGCCCTTAACTTCTAGAGCAGAAGAAAGATCATTTGGTGTTCAGTTGATAATCTATATTATGGAAACAGTTGTTCTTTTTTTTTTTTGGTATATGAAAATTTATTGTCATGTTTTCACCACCAAAACTTACAATCTTGATCTTTCCTTCCTTGGTCTTTTCCTCTCTTTGTACAAGGCCAAAAGAGAGAGAACACTTCACGAATTTGCGTGTCATCCTCGCACAGTGGCCATGCTAATCTTCTCCATATTGTTCCAATTTTAGTATATGGGCGTCATCACTCTTCATTTTCAGATCATCAGAATGGGTGCTTATTTTTAATAACTGCCAGTTGAGGTTGCATAAGTGGGGAGGACAGTCTCTTGTTATGTTCATCTGTATTTACCCAAACTAAAGTTGGTACATTCCCACTGCCAACCTATAAAGTGCATGGATTTAACTTCTCCACAGTTCCAGGCAGAGGCTTAACAGAGTTATGTTTAAGAGGCAGTCGCCCTGTAGAAAAGGAGACCTACTCCTTCTCCAAGGGCTTATTACTTTCTCTGGATAAGAATTTAGCTCAATGCACTGGAGAGCTGATTATCTTTTAGTAGTGAGGAAACCCAGAGCTTTGTGGCTACATCTAACCAATGCTCCGGCTATTACACCCTGTAATCCCCACTGGTCACCCTACCTTGGGATAGATGAACATCAAAAAGGTTAAAAGAAGGGACGCCTGGGTGGCTCAGCGGTTGAGCCTCTGCCTTCGGCTCAGGCCATGATCCCAGATTCCTGGGTTTCAAGTCCCACATCAGGCTCCTTGCATGGAGCCTGCTTCTCCCTCTGCCTGTGTCTCTGCCTCCTTCTCTCTCTGTGTCGCTCATGAATAAATAAATAAAATCTTTTTTTAAAAAGGTTAAAAGAACATTATAATAGACATTATATAATTATATATTATAATATAACATTATAATATGTAATTATATAATTATTATAACATTATATAATTATTATTATAATATAATTATGTCAGTTGACATTATTGTCATTGCATTTGTTCAACATAAACTATGTATCAGGCATTTCATTATATTCATTCCCTTTACTCCTTACCACAACCCTGCAAGTAAGTGATTATCATTCAGATTCACAGACAAGGAAACTGAGGTCCACATAGCTTATCTGCTCAAGGTCACAGTGGTAGTAGGATTAGAAGCTGAGTTCCACCCCAGAATCACTCTAGTTGATTCCCATGTCCATGGTTTTTACACTATGGGCCATCATATTAGCACCCTATTAGTACCCTGTGGCCTATTGGCTTTGTCAGAGGAAAATAAATTCAGAGTTCTTATGTTCTTGTTTTCCCATGAGAAGTAGATTAATGTGGTTTTAATAGCAGGGACTCGTGGTCTGACTGCCTGGGTATGAAGCGCCACTGTACTAAGTATTGGCTGTGTGATCTCTTGCAAATTATTGGAATGATTTGTCAGTTTTTTTATGGGGATGAAGATCATATCTATCTCACGAGGTGGCCATGGAGATTTAACAAGGCAATGCCAGAGCATGCTCATATGGAAGTTGGCATATAGTAAGCACCCTGTGAATGCAACTTGTTACTATTATTTGAGTTTTATTAAATAATTATACATGTTCCATTTTGTTCTAAAAATGATTTAAGGCTGGTTTTTTTTGGAGTTAAAAACAAACAAACAACAACAACAAACAAACAAACCAAGTTTTAGTAAATTCTGCAGCCACTATCATAGCATGGGTCACAGATATTTCCTGACTGCAGACATAGAAACTGAGAAACCAACGCTTTGGTGTGTAGCACATTTTCCTGAACTATCTATCCTGTCCCAGATATCTGCTTTATAAACAAATTTTCTCTCTGCACATGTGTATGTGTGCCTTACATTGAAGCTACACTAATTTTCTGAGTGAAAACTATTTTGCATATTAGCAAATGCAGTCAAATTAATACTGATATATCAGCTGTTTGTGCTGTGAATGCACTCTGCATTTATCTTTTCAGTTCATTTTAAATGGCATATGATAAATATTACATTACACTGTGTGCCAAAGTCTGTTTGGCAATACCAAGCGTGTTTTAGTTATAAAGCTCTCTCTTCAGGCACCTAGCATCGAACCATTGCCAAAAAGCAAGGCAAAATTCCTAGTTATTTTCTGACAGCTATTGAGTTTGTGACTGAGTGAAATGAAGTAGTGTATACTTCTGTTTAAGAAAATAGCATTTGCTCCTCTGGCTAAGCCAACAACTCCTTGAGTCCATTTATCTCCCAGTTTTGGCCAGTACTAGGATTCTTCAGAGGGAGATGGCTTTAATTTTGCATGTTCATTATTGGCTTCTGTTTTATATTTATTTACATATAAGGAAAAAATCAGAATTTGCCTTCTATTGACTGATAGCGTATGGATTTGCAAAGCTTCTTGAATAAAATGCATTGGGAAGTGTTTTGTGAGGCTAGACTACGTGGCTTTCTTAAGGTAGTGGCTCAGGCTAAATATTTGGAGACAGCCTCTTCCCTAGCACCTGGTGGAGACACCCCAGAAGGGATGAGGGGTTGGGGTAAAAGGTCATCAGCATGCTTTGTTAGTCATGGAAACCCGGGCTTGCCATGTGAGGTCCCTCAACTTGATCACAGGGTATTATTATCTTTGTGTCTCCCACTTTTCTCTATTCTTGAGACCTCCTTTTTTTTTTTTTTTTTTTTTTTTACAGTGATAGCTTTCCTCCTTTTCTCCTCTACATGCTGTGTGCGGTCCATTCTTTGTTCCAACAGTTCCCCTCACTGACAATACTCTCTTCCTTTTCTCAGCCCATCTGTATTTGATTGAATCCTTCCCTGTCCTCTGGCTCCAGTGTCCCCTCATTGGGCTGAGTGCTCCTGATTGCCATTAATTTCTGCAGCATTCACTTGGCAGTTGCTTGGCTGAAGTTCAGCTAAGTGCTGTGTGACATACAGCAATGAAATATTGTATTTTCCATTTTATAAGCTTATTTCTTATTTTCTCCCTTATTACTGCTAAGTGCCTTGAAGCTATACTGCTTGATAAAATTCTTAATTATGGGCAGAGTGAATCCAAATAGAAAACCTCACACAGATATTTATTGAATCAACCAAATGAATCTGTGAATGGATGAGTTTAATGAATAAAAATAGAGATAAAAAAAAATAGAGATATGTTTAGTAGGGAATATGGACACTCCTTCCAATTGACTAGCTAACAGTGGGGGTGATATGTGGTCAAGGTTCCTGTCTTTTCTACCCTCTATGTATCATATTCCTTTCTTGCCTCTCCAGGCTATATCTACGAGCCCTTGGACTAATACTAACTCATCCATTCCACTGGGAGTAGACTTTACCTTAGTCATTCTCTTTCTCTCTGTTAAGAGTCATCATAGGAGATAAACTATAAGACAAGACATTAATTGAGAGAAGAACTAAATATAAGAGTAGGGTAAGAACAGAGAAACATGGAATAATTTTAGATGGGAAACATCTTGAATTTTGTTTGCTCTGTCAATGGGTTAGGTGACTGTTTATTATCAGCCTGGAGGATTTACTTTTCTCGTGTTTGTGGCGCTGTGATGAACAGTCTTGCAGTCTCAACCTGAATCACTTGGGACCATGGGTTGATATTTACATTTGGAATGATATTTACATTTGGGGTGATATTTATGCTCTGGATGCTTCAATCTGGGATAATCTGGGGTAGAACCTCCAATGAAAAAGAAAGAAGTGTGCAAAAGTGGGTCCTGGAGGCAGCAGTGCCTGTAATGGCTTCTCAGGCTCGCTTTAGTGCCCTCCTATGGAGTTCAGGAAATATACTGTCCTTGGACAGGAATTGGAACCATTGGAATCAAGCAAAGTCTGGAAGTTCTCTTCCTATACTTGTCTGTTGCTTTTCCTTTGGCTTATTCTCTGTCTTCAACCTTAAATGATCTTCCTGATTCTGTTGTCTGAGTCCTGTACCTATTTTAAGTTCTCAGGCTCAGTAACAATTCAACAAAGTCATTCTTGATTCTTCTGGAAAGAACTAAGTTCTCTTCCTTTGAATTCCCATAGCAATTATCTACACCTTTGCTCTCAGGGTTCATGTCTTGCTTCTTAACTGAGGACATACCATACCTATCGGTCATGTACTATAGGCTCCTTGAGGGAAGGAAAACTGAGTTTTTATCTTTGTCCTCTCTCAGGCTCCTAGTAGAGAGCTCTAGGGACATCTTCATGTATTTCTGCCCTTTTAGAAAATAACTTCTGAAAAAGTACTCTCCCTTTGGAACAATAACGGTTATGCTATGTTTTCCTCCAACCTTATGGAATCATGAAGATGTCCTTGTTGAAGGAGTGCATTTTAAATCATGTACTTTTTCACTCCTCAGGTTCCCACAAAGTGAGTCTGTCCTCCTGGTACCATGACCGAGGTTGGGCCAAGATCTCCAACATGACTTTCAGCAATGGGAAACTAATAGTTAACCAAGATGGCTTTTATTTCCTGTACGCCAACATTTGCTTTAGACATCATGAAACTTCAGGAGACCTCGCCACAGAGTATCTTCAGCTGATGGTATATGTCACTAAAACCAGCATCAAAATCCCGAGTTCTCATACACTGATGAAAGGAGGTAGCACCAAATACTGGTCAGGGAATTCTGAATTCCATTTTTATTCCATAAACGTTGGAGGATTTTTTAAGCTACGATCTGGTGAGGAAATAAGCATCGAGGTATCCAACCCATCACTACTGGACCCAGATCAAGATGCAACATACTTTGGGGCTTTTAAAGTTCTAGATATAGATTGAGTCCCATTTTATGGAGTGTTATTCTGTATTTCCTAGGATGTATGGAAAATTTTTTAAACAAGGCAAGAAAGATGTATATAGATGTGAGACTACTAAGGAGTATGACCCACAATGATACAAGAAGACTCTTTCCATGCTTTTGACTCGGTAGCGAGCATGTGTATTTACAGCCCATGGGAGAGGTTGGAGTAAACTGTGTTACAGTCTAAAGGCTTTCTTACATAATGGCTTTTAAATTTTGTAATGAATTCCTAAAATTATACCAGATTAGAGCAATTATGGTTGCCTTTATATGAAACTGTATTTGACTATGGGAAGGGCTAATTCTCTGGATCTAGCCTGTGGTTATGTGCCACTTTGCAGCTTAAGAGGAGAGGGTGTCACCTAATGCCAATGGATGATCATCAGAAGGGTTAAGTTCCTTTGAATTGTTACATCATGCCGGAACCTGCAAATAAATACTTTTTCTAATGA